ATTGATATTTTACATAAAAAATAAATGCAATCAAACGCACATTAATCACAAGACTTTAACGCAATCATCAGCCGCATTAAGTACATTTGCTTATGACATAGCCTGTTCATGAATAAAAGCTAAAATTATTGGAAAAGTTACATTTATTTTCCATGGAAAATATCAGTTTTCCATCTAAATTCCTACTTGGAGTGTTTGATTGTTATTTTTTTCCATGGAAAATATTTTCCAACTTTTAAAAATATGCTTAATTTTCCTTGTTTTTGAGGAAAATATTTTCCTTGGGTAGAGGTGGTTTTTATTTTTTACAAAAGATGGAAAATATTTTCTTTTCTAGGTGATATTTTCCATGTCAATCAAACACACTCTTAATAATCTATGTGTTGAGAATCCAACTTTAGAACTTTATTACTTTCCATACCAATAGTCAAAGAAAAGGTAGAACCTTATATTTTTTTTTATTTTTTTATTTTTACTATGATAAAGGTGCGATAGAGATAATGACCATTTGTAAATGTACAAATACTTGAATAATTTAACTTGAAAAAGATAATACGACAACTACATAATATGCCATTAGCTAGATAACAATCAATTTTCGAATACCGAATGCAAAGTTCAAAATTTATGGTCTTTGAATCATGTATCTTCGCCACATATTTATTGAAGTCTCGAATGCTCGGCCTTGTATGGGAGGGGGTTAAGGAAATCTTAGATACTCCTAGTATACCAACAAAAGTTTTATAGTAAGAACAAAATTCCATGCCAAGTTATTAATTGGGCCATGATAAAATTTCCTCTAATTCAACATGACAAAGTACCCAAACCAATATAAAAATGAAATTTTCATGTCTCACTTTAACAAAAGAAATTTTGATGTTCAAAAGTGATGCAACATTACAAGTCACACGAACAACAATATTTTTAATCATACATCGAGATGCACTGTTGGCGTGGCGCTTCTATTCAACAAGAAGTATAAATTGGATGCATCCAGTTAAATAATTAGAATTGTTAAAAAAAAAAAGAAAAATACAAACTTTTTGTCACTTGAAAATAAGGAAAAAAAAAAAAAGTAATTTGTCCAAACATACTTGATCTCAATCAAATTTACTTAAAATCAACTTCACAAATTTTTTAGACTTAGGTACTTAGCCAAACATGCTACATAGGAATAATCACGTCATTTTTCTGTGAAGGTGCAGTGCACGAGGTTTAGAGGCCAGTAATCATTTGCTACGACGGTGATGGAGATGAAATATCTGAAACCTAAGCTTGGACCTGACCCATCGACAAAGAGAATGTAGTGGCAATTGAAAATATGAAGGACCGACTAGCAGAAACAAAGGCGCGACTCGAATTGGTGAATGTAGTGGCAATTGAGAATATGTATGATATGATTCTCTTGTATTGGTGAATTTATAAAATGAATTTATTATATGTTTTCATAAAAATGCTTCCCAACACATGCTTACACACACACAGATATATATATATATATATATATCTTCTATATTTTGATTATATTGTACTGGTCTATTTAAAACTCTTTCTATTATATTTCTGCTTATACTTGAAGTACTATGTCTACTATTCATGCAATAGTAAATGAATCTAATTTTACTATGTATGATGTCATTTTTTATTTTCCATTTTGTTTATGTCAAATAAATGTTCTTCCACACATCATCTCACTAGCATTAAAAAAATAATTATATCAAACAAATAATCTTCCGCACATCATGTCACTAATAATTTTAGTAAATATAAATTGCCATGGACAAAAAAAAAAAAAATTAAAAAAAAAAAAAAAAAAAAAAAAAAAAAAAAAAAAAAAAAAAAAAAAAAAAAAAAAAAAAAAACTCTTCGCTCATGAGCTTTAAAAATAATAAAAATAAACTCTCCGCATAGTGCAAAGAGATGACAAACTATATGCGGAGTAAAAAATGAAGAAAAAAACGCTCTGCATAGTGCTGATAGATGGCAAACCATGTGCGGAGAGTTGACAAACTTTCCATACGGTGCGAAGTAAAAAAAAATATCTCTGCACAATACAAAGAGATTGCAAACACCATGGCAAAACTCTCCGCAGAGTGCGGAGAAATGACATTCTGTGCGATAGTCCGCACAATCTGTGCTGACACTGTCATCACAAAGTGCGGACTCTCTGTACGGTGTGGAGTAAAAAAAGTAAAAAACAATAAAATAAAATTCGCACAGTGCGGAGAGTTGGCAAACTCTCCGTACAGTGCGAAATTAAAAAAAAAACTCTGCATAGTGACTATCACGCGTGTTGCACAAATTTTGTATTTATCGTATTTTTATTAGTGTATGAATTTTCGTTTTTTGGAAAGTTTTTGAAACAATATCTAGAAATATTTCCATAATATAAGAAAATAATTGCAAATTATTTTTACAATTGTATAACAGTATTGTGTCATCTAGAAAAAAATATACTTATATATTTCATACTTAAATAAGAAATATACGATATTATACAAATTATTTTGCTCGTATTATTTGATAATGTTGATTGTGTTGAATGTGAAAATTATACTTCCAAAATTTGTGTAGATTGAGCATTATATTCATATGTATTTATATTTCGTGCTTTATATATATTTAATATTTATTTTATTCTTATGTTGAAAAAATAAAAATTTGGAATTTTTTTTTTGAAATTCGATTTAGTAAGTGAATATACAGTGTTCTGCATTCTCGGTATTTGTAAGTGCGAAAATCGGTATATAAAAATATAGTAAACTACAAATACGGTAAGCAGCATATACGGTAAGTTGCAAATACGGTAGACAACGTATATGGTAAGTTGCAAATACGATAGGCTGCAATACGGTAAGTTGCAAATATGGTAGGCAGTATATACGGTAAGGTGCAAATACAGTAAATAGGTTGCAAATACGATAGCTGCAAATACGGTAGACAGCATATACGGTAAGCTGCCTGCAAATACGGTAAGCTGCATATATGAATTTATAATTTGTTATAAATATATAAAATTTATTTAATATTAAATTTCTTAAGCATTAAATGTTGTAATTCAATATTGTTTCCTTTTTTATAATTGTATCTCCGGGAATTAAAAAAAAAAAAAGTGGTTATGAATTTACTAATTTTTAAATGTGTTTTTTTTTGTTGAAAATAAAAAATGATTTTTTATGTTATTTATAAAAAAAAATTATTGTAATTTTATTAGCTAATAAGAAGATTTATTATGCATTTTTATTTTTTGCATCTTGTGAAGAATTTCGTTCATGATGATTGATAAATATTCTTCCATTCACGCATCATGTCAACAACATTAAAATAATAATAATAATTTTAGTATATATAAATTTCATGAGACAAAAAAATGTCTGCACATGAACAAAAAAAAGACTCCGCAAAGTGCGAAGAGATGACAAACTATTTCTCGCACAGTGTGAAGAGAAAAATAAAAACTTTCGGGACTTTATCTGCAAATTTCAAGAGGCATTTTCTCAAATAACTTTTGTGCAATGCATTGAACACTTTAATTCTTGTGCTACAAATCGAAAGTATAATTTGATTGAAAATTGTATCTATTTCTAATGTCCAAGAGCTATTATCAAGTAAGTATAAAATATTGAATTTGGATGGTAACCTAGAGCCTTCATTTGTGAAAACAATGCCATGGTACTATTAATATCCCCTTCTTTGCACAACTCACATATTGTTTTATTGTATGAATTACGAGAAAACTCCTTTCCAATACCATAAATATGATTTGCATGCTCGAAAATTGAGCTATGACTGGAATTTAAAGAAGACATACTTGATTTTGAGCCATGTTTTTCGACTCTGTTTCGTTGTATATACGAAAAATTTATAATCTTGAAATTTGACTTGTAATTAAGGAATTTGAAAACAACTCTCCACATTATGCGGAGATTTTTTTTCTCTCTGTACTGTGTGGAGAGCTGGCTTGTCATCTCTCCACACTGTGCAAAGATTTTTTTTTACTCCACACTGTGCGAAGAGTTTGCCAACTCTCCAAATATAGTTCAACTCTCTCCGCACCGTGCGGAGATTTTTTTCTCTCTACACTTTTTTTTTACTTCGCACATAGTTCAACTCTCTATGCACTGTGCGGAGAGTTTTGCCATGGTGTGGACCAACTCTCCGCACTGTGCGAAGAGATTAATTCTCTCCGCACAATGCAGAGATTTTTTTTACTCTCCGTACTGTGCGGAGAGTTTTTTTTACTTCGCAATGGTTCAACTCTCTCCGCACTGTGTGGAAAGTTTTTTTTTTTCTCTCCGCACCTTTTTTTAGTTTTTATTTTTATTTCGCACTTGATTCAACTCTCTCCGCACTGTGTAAAGAGTTTTTTTCAATTTTACAATATTGAATTATACAAAATTTAGAAATATAATATTCAAATTCAATTCAATCATATCACACACTATCAAAGAATACAAGTAAAATAGTTTGTATATTTTTTATTCAAATATGAAATATACAAGCATATTTTTTCTAGATAATATACTGTTATGTAATTGTAAAAATAATTTATAATTATTTTCTTATATCATGGAAATATTTTTAGATATTCCTTCAAAAACTTTTCAAAAAATTAAAATTTATACACTAATAAAAATACGATAAATACAAAATTCGTGCAACGTATGTGATAGCGATCATATATATATATATATATAACTTATTAATAAGCCGACACAAACATCGTACTAACTTAACTACAAAGTAAAGTGCCATCCTAGAAAATTGAATCAATCCATAAAAGCGCATCTAGTATGACACCTCACCAATCCATTCATCATTCATCTCCCTAGTGGTTTCTCTCACCTCGGCCGCTGTGTAGAAGCTCAATTTTTCTAACATATATATATATATATATATATATATATATATATATATATATATATATGTAACTTATTAATAAGCCGACACAAACATCGTACTAACTTAACTACAAAGTAAAGTGCCATCCTAGAAAATTGAATCAATCCATAAAAGCGCATCTAGTATGACACCTCACCAATCCATTCATCATTCATCTCCCTAGTGGTTTCTCTCACCTCGGCCGCTGTGTAGAAGCTCATAATACAGAGAAAAAGCTGCGCTTGGAAGAGAGTTTTGAACTTCCATAGAAATGGAGGAAAGCCCTCTTTTGTCTTTGCTTCCTCACAAAATCATCAAACCTGAAACATCCCACCAGTTAAACAACCAGGATTTTCATCACTGCAGCACCTCGAGGCGCGGTGGCGCGAAGCAGGATTCGGATTCACCGGTTCCTCTCCCGCCGGGGCAGGTGTCATTCCGCCTGCTCTGCCGCTTCCACACCGCTGGAGGTGTCATTGGGAGTTCTGGCACTGTCATTAAGCGACTCGAGGCACTTTGTGGGGTGAAAATCCGGATCGAGAAGGGCCTCCCCAACTGCCACGAGCGCGTGATTAACATTTTGGGTGATGCCACAGTCAAGAAGAAGATATCGATTATAGGTAGTTTAAAGAACGGTGGAAATGAAGACAAGGAAATGGTGGAGGGGTCAAAAGCACAGGAGGGTTTGATAAGGGTTTTTGAGAGGGTTTTGGAGGTTCAAGGGGATGTTGAAAATGAAAATGAAAATGATGACATTAATAGTAACAGTAAAGGGTTGATAGGGTGTCGATTATTGGCTGCCGCGGGTCAAATAGGGGCAGTTTTGGGGAAGGGAGGGAAGATTGTGAATGGGATCCAGAATAACTCAGGGGCGAAGATAGCGGTTTTGAAAGAGCACATTCCAGCTTGTGCAGAACCCCAAGAGGCAGTGATTCAGGTGTTTTTTTTTTGTAGTTTTATTAATTTTATTATTTACCGATTTAGTATGTTATATAATGCAATAAATAAACTTGTATTATGGGTTTATTTTTCGCAAGAAGAAAGGGAAATGACTAGTTCTGCATTTTGAAAGAAATGGAAAGTGGAAAATCACACTCAATTCGGCCGCCTCTCTAACTTGTACAAGGGAAAAACTGTGAGATGCTCATGTGACAAGTCCGATAAATATATCATACATGACAAATACATTGTAGATAAATCATGCGCCATTTACAACATTATATTATCCTAACATTGAAAATTTAATTATTGAACAATTTTTGTTGTCGGCATTGTTGATTTGACTTGTCAGGGTTGTCTTTTTGTTGAATATGGAAACATTATGCATTGTAGTACACGTTTTCTTAATATATGGTATAGAGCATTGTAAATATTTGTCATTGCGAAGTTAATTCTATGTTCTAAAGTTGACTCCCAAGTTTATTGGGAATATGGTCTTAGCATCAGGTGTTCTATGCATCTCCTACCAACATTTAGTGGCCTTGTTGTAACCTATATTTTCCTGGAATTGTGTGTCATATGATGAGGCATGCTCACGGGCATGATGCCTTCTAAAAGACTGAAGACTAGTATGAAACCATGTTACTTAGTTGAATGTAGAACTAGAAAAAGAATGAAGGATGGATAATTCTTCTGCAATTATTCTATAATATTAGATAATTTAAGCATCTATTTTGGGATAATATGTTTATCGGAAGTGATGCCTAAAATTAATATTAAGTTTAGTTTCATATAAAATGTCCATGAAGGTGGTAAATTTTTATACAAATAGAATTATAGTGAGATATATAAAAGAACTGAGTAGCTGATGTGACAACAAAGCGTAATATTATATGCCAAGATGTTGATTTTTTGAACTAAGATGGCATATTCAAGAAGATGTTGATTTTTGGAACTAAGATGGTATCAGTATACATACAAGGATAGGACCACATGCACAGATATCCTAGAAATACACCAACATAAGTTTCATTGTCTGTGTGCACAGTAGAACTTATCTAGCTTTAATCTTTACTGAACAACTAAATATGATAATCAAAACTCATATCACAAAAAGATACAAACTCTATATCAGAAAAATCAAGGTAAAGCAAAAATTTCTAGAAGTACAAGTATAAAAAATTGCAAAATAAAATAACAGTGTTTGAGTGCTAGAGATATTGAAGAATAAAACACTGGACAAACGGATGGAGTGTATTGAAATTTGTGATGCCATAAGTTGAACTTCTAATACTAAGGCTTCTCCAATGCTCTAGTGGCCATGTTATGTTAAGATATCCATGCCTGTGAAACATTACCGAAGTTTTTGGCGCCTTGCTGCTTTGAACTACCCAGATGCTCTCCAAGTAGTATGCCATTTATTTAGTGACATCCAAAACAATGTCTACTCATATTGATAGCTCCTATTAACTGTAAGTAGAGAATCACATGATCATGAGTAATGTCTGTATGTGAAAAACAGGAAGAAAATAGAGCAGATGAAATTGTTTTTTTTCCATCTTTTTCCTTGCAGAAATTTTAAATCCATTCAGAGGGTGTAGAGATGCAAGTTTCTCATATTTTTCAACTTTTGGAATTTGGTTTTTGTTTTGATTTTGGTTTTGGAGAAGATTAGAGACAAATGTAACATTAATTCATGAATTACATGATAAATGTTTATTATACTTCCGGTTAGTATTTTCCAAATACCAACTCCAGTGATTTGGAATATGAATTTAAATTTATGCTGTAAATTTTCAAAGAGCAAATAACAAAAACTTCCTTTGAAGTTATTGAGTGTTATAGAGACTTCCCCTACCTTATAAAAATTATGGAAACTTCCTTTATAAATTAAATTTATTTATTTTTTTGATAAGTAATCAATAATTTTATTAATCAAAGATAATACACTGAGAGTGTATTATCAATTTATACAAGAAAGGAATAACATGGAATTAGGCAACCCTACTAGAAAACTTCCTTTATAAATAAAATAAATACACTTTTCACATTTTGCGCTCGTCTCTATATGAAATTGATGACTTTCCTTTTAATGATTTTTAATATAGTAAAAAAAAAATAGTTTGAAGTGTCCCCCCAGTCAAATATGACACTTTTATTATAAAAAATTTAATGAATTGGATAATAATATTTTATTTTCTAAACCTAACCTTGTATAAGTATTATGAGTATAAAGCAATAAAATTTTTAAACTGTAACTGAACAATAGAATAAGGTTCAATACTTCATAGCATTTAACTGCTAGTATCTAAAAATATGATTCCAATCAAACAAACAAGTTATTAATAATCGTAGTTTCAAAATTATTTAAATTTTTGATAAATAAATTATAATAATTATCCTTTTTAAAAACATTGTTATAGAAATGTATAAATACAATTTAGTTAATTAGAAGCAATATCTTATACAATTAAAATAGGTAAAATAAGGAAAAAAAAAGAAAGAAAGAAATATATAGTATAAGTATATACTAAAATGTTTAAATTTAGTTTAAGGCACAAGGAAAAAGAGGAAGTATATATTTATATTTAAGAATAGGGGGAATCAGTTATGAAAAATAAACGTCTAGGGATGTTTCTGTTGTAATAAGCAAGGGTGTCTTTATAATAGCCTTTGTGATTTCTGTAAATTGCTCTTTTCAAAAGAAAGTGACAGTAACAGAGCTTCTAAATCTAGAGAGCTCGTAACAGAATAGGACAGCTTTAGATCCATTAAGTACTTGGTTTGTAAATGGACCTTGACCATTATGATCGATAAAGCTGCCAACTAATGATTCAAAATTATTGGACCATAATCAAACATTGTATAAAAGGGCAAGGCTTCCGAAGTGGCAAGATGGAGCTCAAAAGCTTGTCTACACTGGCGCTTATATGTTCTAACTTCCATAGAAATATGTGGAGTATTTTTACTTCGTTTTCATATATATATATATATATGGACATGCATATTTGTGCACACTCAACATTTGGTTTTCTGTTTCTTTGGCTACTAAGGATTGGTTAATAGCATGCAGATAAGGGGTGGGGTTGCTTCTGTAAAGAAAGCATTACTTGCTATCTCCTGTTGTCTTCAAGATTGCAAACTAGGGGAACGAACTCCTGGGCAGATGTCTTCCCGTGGAGTTTCACATGACATACTCAAATATAGTATTCTTAACAGTAATTCAAACTCACCGACATTTTCTGGAAATGCTGTTGATTATCATCCCGTTGTCCATTCTTTGTCGGAAGATATTGACAGAAAGCTTAGCATGGATGAAGACAGTACCCTAAAGAATGTGGTGTTTAGACTTTTATGTTCCAATGCTTCAGCTGGGGGTGTGATTGGCAAGGGTGCAAATTTGGTTAAATCTCTGGAAAAAGAAACTGGGGCTTGTATAAAGTTTTCATCTCTTGCATCTGGATTGAGTGAGCGTGTTGCCACTATCTCTTCACTGGAGGTTTTCCATTATACTGAATTTCTGCTATATATTTTCTACTGTCATCAATGTCTCTCAAAATTTCTCGTTTCTTCTAAGTTAATTTTTGTGATATTTGCAGAACCCAAATCCGTTACACTCTCCTGCACAGATTGCTATTATACGTGTTTTTACCAGATCTGTACAGGTTGCCCTTGACTATGGCTTAACACCTGGCATGGGTAAAGGTGAAAATGTGACTGCAAGAATTTTGGTTGCAAGAAATCAAATGGGATGCTTGGCAGATGAAAGTGGAAGAGTTGCTTCAGATATTAGTACTGCATCTGGTGTTGAAATACAATTATTGGGAGCAGGTCTTATCCCAAATTGTACTGTTGAAGATGATAAAGTGGTTCAGGTTGGGCATCAGTTGCTTTTTTCATTTTTTTTTTTTTCATGATACAAATCATTATATCTCCTGAGTTTTGGTAGCAAACTTAAAAATTAGGAAATAATTTGTTCTAGACAGAGCTGCCGATGGACATTGTTCATAGACATGCACAATGTTAGTTTGTAAAAACTAGAGAAGGAATTGACTTCATATATCCCTCTAATGCTGCTATTTCTGGGTCGTATTATTGTTCATTTTTCTTGATCATTTTGTTTTCCTTTGTGCTCATACAATTCACCCGGCCATTTTGAAATCCATCATGATAATCTGCTTCTTGGAACTAATTTGATCAAAGTATAGCAGAGCATCAAATATAGCTTCTCGCCAGCTGTAACTCCCACTTCTGTTTTAGACTTTCAGTAAGCCAAATTTTATAAGATAAAAAAAAAGCTTTGAAATATTGACCATGACCATCTCTGCTTACTGAATCTCATTTAAGCAAACATCAATCCATCCATGCGTTCTTCCTCTAGGTTATTGATTGACTGATATCTGGCCATTTTTGTTTACAAAAAGTTTCTATTTGTCTTATAATTCTAGAAGCAGTAAATGTTTCCTCTGTTCCAGTTTGTGTACCCTTTTTGACCTTCGCATCATTTTTCAACATTAGTTACTATAAATTGTTCTAACAAAAAAAGAAGGTACTTTTAATTGAATTATATATCTTAGTGTTTGTATTAAGTTTTCTTCATTCATTATTGTTCTTTAAATATACGATAACAAAACATCGGCTGTTGCTTCATAGGGGGAAGTGGTAGCAATCCATATTGCGAGTGGCATGATATGATGTCATTTAGATTTTTAGGTGGTAATAGGACCCCAATAAACCTTGGTTGACCCCTACTTTGAGTTCTCAATGGCTCCTTCTACAGATTATCGGCGAGTATGAAAATGTTAAAAGTGCCCTGCTTCAAGTTACTGGCAGACTTAGGGAGAACTACTTTCCGAGAATGGGTTTTCACTCGTCAGATTCAGCTACAGCATGCAGCAGTTCTAATGGAAGGGTAATACACTCCTCTTCTCATCCGAAACAATTAACAAGACTCTCTTCTGTTAATCAATTAGATTACCTTAGATTGTACACAAGTCTAGTAGATTACCTTAGATTGGTACACGAGTCAAGTCATCCTCTGTTAACAGGTTTACAACAAATAATGCAAAGATCTTTCAGTTTTAGCCTTATAATTTTCAATCTTCTCATTCTTCGCACATCAAATTTTCTATTTGATAATTTCATTTTTCATGTGGTCCTATGATAACAGGCTAAAACCAGGAGAAATTTCACAAGATCTGAAGATGATGCTAAAAGCTTGAAAACTTTTTCTTCTGGGCTTAAGAATGAAAGGTAAATAATGCCTGTTGAGTATTAAGCCTTTATTTGTCAACCATTCTACCACATTTTTTTTTTACAGTACTCATTTTCAACCATACATTTTTCATTAAAATAATATTACATATAAATCAAAAAACTTTTTCTTCTTTTTTAACTACGTATTTCAACATCAATCACTATTTCATAATACATTTTTTGAAATTAAAGGGGCACAAACAGACCCTAAATGATTTCCAGTGTGATTGTTTATTCAGTCGAAGAAATCAACTACTATATTGCTTGGGCTCAAATGTAGGCATCTGATACGGGTACATATAAAAGATGCAAAACCTTTTGTTTTTCATTCTAAATTCTAGGATATGTGTGGCAATAAGGGATCCAAAATTTGGACACGAGTAGATAGATACGTCTTATGAACACAAAATATATTAGAAATTTATATACAATAGTTTTAAATGCATTTAATGAGTTAGGTTTTCGTTAAAAACAATAATTGATGCTTCAAAAATCTCAATTTTTTGCTTTGGAAATTGAAATTGGTTTTCTTAAAAATGGCAATTTTTAAATCACTTTTAATGCTTTACAAATTGTGGGGTCAAGTTTCATTCAAAACAACAATTGAAGCTTTGAAAATCGCAACAGATTTTCTGAACAGTAGAAATTGATGCTTTAAATCACTTTAATTCTTCTAAGTTGAAAGTTGTAGGCTAGGTATTGCAATTAGGGTTTCCTTTTCAGTGACCTTTCTCTTCGTGCAACTTCAACTTCCACCTCCACCAATGGTGACTACCTTTTGTAGTATCCTCTTCAAATTCAAGGATCTAAACTAGATCCACTACCATTTCCTTTTCATGTCGATACTGGCACTTCATCAATTTTGGAGATATCTAGCATTATAGATCAGCTAAACTTGATATTTTTTTAGTGACGATCTGCGATGCTCGAACTCTCCAATATGGAAGAATTACTATGTCGACATAGAGTACAACTATGGTATTCAGCTCAAATTCTTCAAATATGAAGAGGGTATGACAAAGCACCATTGGTGGAAGCTAAAGTTGAAAGAAGATGACGGTTATTGGAAAGGAAGCCCTAATACTTGACCCCACAACTTCTAACTTAAAGCAAAAATAGCATTTTTCAAAGATAAATTGCGACTTCTGAAGCTTTAATTTTTGTTTTTGAAGCTCCACAACTTTTAAAGTGTGAATGGCTATTTTTAAGAAGATTAATACTATGTAGGTGCAAAATACCCATCAAGGTGGCATTAATTGATAGGTCATCTTAAATGGGACCCATATTCCTATATGGAACCTAACGATTAATGCCACCTAGGTTTCACCGGTAATGCTACATAGCGTAACTCTTTTAAGAAAATCAATTGTGATTTCCAAAGCTTAAATTGTGATTTGTGAAGCATTGCTATTTTAAGAAAACATGGTCCATTGAATGCATTTAAAATATTAGGCCTGTTTGAGCCTCATTATTTATTCATTAAAATGAAAAATATGATTGTTATCATCACATCAAGTCACCATATTTGACTTTTTATCTCTTGCGTGGGGCCCATAACGACTATATTTTTCATTCTCATTTTTACAATAATGTGGCTCAAACGGGGGTTTAGTCTATAAATTTTATGTTTGTAAAACTACTTATCTGATTCTAAATTTTGGATCCTTTTTTGTCACATTGGCATATCCTAGAACTTAGCCCAAAAAAATAAAATAAAAAAATTCTGACCCCTAGATATGTATTTGTGTGACTAGACACGTGCACTCAAGTCCAAGCAACATAGGTGATGATGTACTCAAATATGTTCATCCTTGCTATATGTTTAATGTGATAGCTGGAGTGGTAGACAAATTTGAGTAAATTATTATTTAGTTAAATGCGAAGATTTGATGAAAGAGGTTGATTTTTTATTTTTGCATTTTTAATTTTTCACCAACTTGTATTCTGAAGCTCAGGCTGGATGAAGACGGTACCCTAAAGAATGTGGTGTTTAGATTCTTATGTTCTAATACTTCAGCTGGGGGTGTGATTGGCAAGGGTGCAAATTTGGTTAAATCTCTGGAAAAAGAAACTGGGGCTTGTATAAAGTTTTCATCTCTTGCATCTGGATTGAGTGAGCGTGTTGCCACTATCTCTTCACTGGAGGTTTTCCATTATACTGAATTTCTGCTATATATTTTGTACTGCGATCAATCTCTCAAAATTTCTTGTTTCATCTAAAGTTATTTTCGTGATATTTGCAGGACCCAAATCCGTTATACTCTCCTGCACAGAATGCTGTTATACATGTTTTTACCAGATCTGTACAAGTTGCCCTTGTCCATGGCTTAATACCTGGCATTGGTAAGGGTGAGAATGTGACTGCAAGAATTTTGGTTGAAAGAAATCAAACGGGATGCTTGGTAGATGAAGGCGGAAGAGTTGCTTCAGATATTAGTACTGCTTGTGGTGTTGAAATACAAATATTAGGATCAGCTCTTATCCCAAATTGTACTATTGAAGATGATAAAGTGGTTCAGGTCTGTGCATCAGTGGTTTTTCTTTTTTTCTTTTTACTATTGAAATCATTGTATGTCGTGTTTTTGTAGCACACTTAAAAATTAGGAAATCATTTGCTTTATACAGAGCTATGGATGGATATTGTTCATAGACATGCGCGTTGTTAGTTTGTGAAAACTAGAGAAGTAACTGACTTCATATATGCCTCTAATTTTTTCTTATTCTGTTTTCCTCTGTGCTCTTATAATTGACCAAGCCTTTTTGAAATCCATCATGGTAGTCTGCCTCTTGGAACTATTTTGGTTAAGTAGAGCAGAGTATCAAACATAGCTTGTTGCAGGCTGCAGCTCCCACTTCTTTAGACTTTTAGTAAGCCAAATTTTATAAGATGAAATTTAAAAGCTTTGAACTATTGACCATGACCATCTCTACCCACTGAAAGATCATTTGAGGAAAGATCAATCCATCCATGCGTTCTTCCTTTGGGTTATTGGTTGACTGATATCTGGCCATTTTTTTTTAGAAAAAGTTTCTATTCGTCTGATAATTCTTGAAGCACTAGATGTTTTCTCTGTTCCAGTTTGTGTACCCTGTTTGACCTTCGAATCATTTTGCAACATTAGTTACTATGAGTTGTTCTAAGAGGAAAAAGAAGTTACCTTTAATTGATTGTAAATCTTAGTTGTTGTTCTTAAAATATACGATAACAAAACATTGACTGTTGATCCATAGGGAAGTGGTAGCAAGCCAGATTGAGAGTTGGCATGATATGATGTCATTTAGATTTTAGGTGGTAATAAGAGTCCAATAGACTTCTTTTGGTTTTGTTTCTATTTCTAAATACTATGACCTTGGTTGACTACTACTTTGAGTTCACAATGGTTTTTTCCTTCTACAGATTATCGGCGAGTATGAAAATGTTAAAAACGCCCTGTTTCAAGTTACTGGCAGAGTTAGGGAGAACTACTTTCCCAGAATGGGTTTCAATGTATCTGAACACACACACTCGTCGGATCCAGCTATGGCATGCAGCAGTTCTAATGGAAGGGTAATGGACTTCTCTTCTCAACTGGAACAACTGTCAAGACTGTCTTCTGTTAATCAACTACACAAGTCAAGCCATCCTCTGTCAACAGGTTCACGACAAAAAAACGTATAGATCTCTCTGTTTTAGTTTTATAATTCTCAATCTTCTTCATTCTTTACACATCAAAGTCTCTATTTGAGAATATCATTTTTCACGTGGTCCTATGATAACAGGTTAAAACCAGAAGAAATGTCACAAGACCTGAAGATGACGCTGGAAACTTGAAAACTTTTTCTTCTGGGCTTAAGAATAAAAGGTAACTATAATGCCAGATGGATATCGAATGGTTTCCAGTTTGATTGTTTTTTCAGTGGGAGAAATCAACTATGTTGCTTGGGGCTCAGGTCTGGGCATTGGATATGGGTACATATATAAGGCTTAGATTCGTTTCTTTTTTTTTCTCCTTCTAGATTCTTGGATATGTATGACAACGAAGGATTCCAAAATTTGGACACATGTAGGTGGATATGTCTTTCAAAAATAAAATTTATCAGAAATTTGTATACAATAGTTTTAAATGCATTTAATGAGCTACGTTTTTTTTTAAAAAAAAAAAGCAATTGATGCTTCAAATCACTTCTAATGATTTACAAATTGTGGGATTGTGTTTCATTCAAAACAACAATTGAAGTTTTGAAAATAGCAATAGATTTTCTTGAAAGTAGAAGTTGGGGCTTTAAATCACTTCTAATGCTTTAAGTTGAAAGTTGCAATCTTGCAATTAGGGTTTCTTTTCCAATAAATAACCTTTTCTCTTAGTGCAACTTCAACTTCAACTTCCACCAAAGGTAACCGCCCTTTGCCATAGCCTCTTCAGATTCGAAGGATCCAGTCTGGATCCGTTACCCATTTCCTTTTCATGTCGGTAGTGATACTTCATCCATTTTGGAGAGTTTGAGCATTAGAGATCAACTGAACTGGATATTATTTTCAGTTAGGATATGTGATGCTCAAACTCTCTAAAATGGAAGAATTACTATGTCGACACGAGTACAGCTATGGTATTCAGCTCAGGTTCTTCTAATTTTTAGAGGGTATGACAAAGGTACCATTAGTAGAAGCTAGAGTTGAAGGAAGATAGCGGTTGCTGGAAAGGAAGCCCTTTAACCTGAACCCACAAGTTTTAATTTAAAGCAAAAATAGCAATTTTCAAAGCATCAGTTGCAATTTCTAAAGCCTTAATTTCTGTTTTTGAAGCTTCACAACTTTTAAAGCTTGAATGGCTATTTTTACGAAGATTAATACTATGTAGGTGCTAAATCCTTGTCCAGGTGGCATTAATTGATAGGTCATATGGAATCTAACAATTAATGCCCCTAGATTGCACTAGTCATGCTACATAGCATTACTCTTTTAAGAAAATCAATTGTGGTTTCCAAAGCTTATAATTGTGATTTCTAAAGCATGAATTACTCTTCTAGATTCCATATGACCTATCAATTAATGCCACCTGGACAAGGATTTAGCACCTAACAATTAATGCCACCTAGATTGCACTAGTCATGCTACATAGCATTACTCTTTTAAGAAAATCAATTGTGGTTTCCAAAGCTTAAATTGTGATTTCTAAAGCATGAATTACTATTTTAAGAAAACTTGGTCCACTGAATGCATTTCAAACTATTAGTATATAAACTTTATGTTCGTGTAACCATGTATCCAATTGTAAATTTTGGATCCTTTTTTGTCATAGCGGCATATTCTAGAATTTAGCCAAAAAAAAAAAAAAAAAAGAAGAAAAAAGAAAGAAAGAAAATGAATCCAATTCCTAGATATGTACTCGTATGACTAGACACGTGCACTCAAGTCCAAGCAACATAGGTGATGATGTACTCAAATATCTAGCTATATGTTTAATATGATCACTTGAATTGTAGACGAAATTGAGTAAATTATTCTTTAGTTAATGCGAAGATTTGTTGAAAGAGGTTGAAATTTTTTCATCTTTCACCAACTTCTTGTATTATACTGTGAAACTGGTCTTGGCTCTTTCTTGAATAAAGTGATATTTTAAGATGTTTATTTCTATATTTTTACAAATTCAATGGCTTATGCAGTAAGGTTGCAGATGCAATACCATATAGAACTGTGGAGGTTTTGATTCCACATGATGTTTTTCGCTTTGTCTATGGTGACAATAGCAGCAATCTTATACGTCTAAAAGAGGTATACATTCTTAAAACTTCAAACCTATTTCCTTGATTATATGGTCCTGCCGATTTATTAACCTTGAAGTCACCAGTCTGACTCTTTGTGTTATGTTTTGCTCTTTTTTTTTTTTTTTTTTAATAAGTAAAAAGAAACTAAAAATGGTTTTAGAATGGGATTTAAATGTGGAATGGCAATTGATAGATGTATGTACATGGGGAACAGTTTTAAATTTCTTTTGAAGTAACACATTCTGCTTGTTCAAGTCAAAACTCGGGTGATTAAGTTTCTGATAGTTTTATGCAGCTTAAATGGTATTGATTTTTATACCCGGCTCATATATTTGTGAGATAGGAATGAGCATCCATATAGTATAAGCTTTGTACCTCTAGAATTAGCCTTAGTTTCAGTATTTCCGTAATTGCTTTGGTGATTGTTTTCAATGGGAACTCTCTAATGATTGGAAGAGTACAGAGGATTAAAGCTCGAAGTATATAATAAAAACTGATCAGAAATTGGTAAACTATGGTTCAAAAGCAAGCCATTGGAAGAATTAGAGAAATAGCCACATGAGTTGAGTCTTGAAGAGAAGATCTAATAAGCAAAATCAAGTTCCCCTATACATTTGTTACTGGGAAGCATTGGGGGATTCAGACCAGACTTTGAGCATGCTTGACTAAGGTTAGAAGGTTTATTTGTAAATAAGTTTTAAAATAAAAAATTCTTCTATTGGTCAAATTCAAAAATAAGTTACTTGTTTTAACAATAAGGTAAGAGTGATTTTAAAACTAAACATTTTTTGCTTAGAAGTAAGTAATAAGTAACTTATCCAGACACGTTTGGAATTAAAGTAAAAGCTTAAAAGTAACTTGTAAGTACTTTTAAGCTTAGGCAAACATGCTTCTCAGTATGAGTTATTCTTGACCTGGCCAGAAAATTTGTCAACCCTTCCTTTCCTTTTGTTGTACTTTAGTATCAAGTCATCTGTCTCGTTTATTTCTTAAGTGGCGTTGTGACATCTCCATAAATTTCAACACCCATTGAATTGTTAAACTTACAGTTTGCATTCTATAATTCAGACAACTGTTGTTTTGATGTCATTTTGTTGTTGGATGTGCTCTTATCAGATCTCGGGTGCAACTATTAGACTACTAGATCCACGTGCTGGAGATGATATAGGGAAGGTAATCATGTCTGGATCAACCGAGCAAATCCAGATTGCCCAGAGCCTGCTTCAAGCCTTTATTTCATTGTAGTTAGTTACTGGCTCTATAATCATCCTTGAAAATGCCATTTTCCTTGTGGTAAATAGCCCTGCTAAAAGGGCATTTTCCTGTGTCAAGTGTTATGTTTTGCGCCTGTAAGTATACGCAGCTTCTATGAACACAGTGAAGTTACTATCTTGAGGTTTTAGATTAGTATAAAATGATGTATATACTTTGTGACGCTTGTTAAATTCAATCGGTAATGGTTCTCGATTGCAAATATGCTGTGCGATTTATTCAACACCACTTTATTCAATGAAGTCATGAGCAACTAGGAGTTCGGATTTGCTGTCTCCACAGCTGTCTTTACACTAAAATTGACGCTTTGGCATGTAAGTTCTTGTTAATCAATGCGAATAAGCTGACAAGAGTACAACCCAAGTAACATGACATTTGAAATGGGGTTTACCCATTAGCACGAGACGACGTGTTGAGATGTCAAACATGTATTTGGTTAAAAAGAATATAAATTTTTTGAATTTATATGTAAAATTATTTTATTAAGAGAATGTGTGAAAAAATGAATTTGATAAAAAAATAAATTATTATTATTATTATTATTTTTTTTTTTGGGGGGGGGGGGGGGGGGGCATAATTCTCGACTTGCAACTTATTATAGCTTCAAAATCATATGCAAGGAATTAAATATTTCAATTGTCATTGAACTTTCTCAAATGTTTTTCGGTTGAAATTGATTTTCAAAGTTCTTTGACTTGTCATTGATTAAACTCTAGAAATTTTATTTCATTCATCACTTCTTTACTTGTCGTTTTGAAAGTTAGTTGATTTGATGAACTTACTAAAAGTTCTACCATTTGTCATTCCGTCTACTATATCTTTTAATCTTTCACTTTTAAACGGCGAATGATAAGAGTAGCGAACAAGGTAACATTTTGGAAGTTCAGTGGCAATTCAATGAACTTTTAAAGTTTAGTGGCAACCGAAAAATATTTAAGAAAGTTTAGTGACATTTGAGAAATATTCGAAAAAAACTAGTGATAATTAAGATATTTAACTATAGTGATAAAACATTTTTACGATTAGACACCATTACTCATATTTAATCATTTTTCATATTTTTAGTTTCTATTATCATTCAGTACATGTTGAACTAAGACCTAGGTTGATCATGCGAGGTACCTTCTTGCTATCTATCCTCTCTTACTACTAAAAGTTATTGTTTACATGCATGTTGTTTTCTTCGAAAGATGGTTGTAACTGACTCTTGAAATGTCAAGATAGGACATGCATGTTGTTTTCTTCAAAAGATGGTCGCAACTACTCTTGCTTGGGCTCGTTTAAATGTCGATGCAGGAAACCGTTCATTGGAGAGAGTGAAAAAAATTGTCCAAAATGAAAATGTTTTAACCAATTTGCTACAATTGCCATTGATAGGATACCTTATACCTACAGTGCAATTTGTCCTCTAATGGGCTTTAGTGGATGTATGGAAAAAGGGGATTGCCATCTCAAGCTATGTGCCTTTTTACATATAGAGACTTGTTCTTGGGTCTATTCAAATAATTTTTTGAAAGTACATTATTAGATTAAAAGAAATATTAGAGGAATCTAGTTCAATGTAGCTTCCTTAAGAAGCTCTTAGAAAAGGCAGAGGTAGAACTTCATTTTTATGAAAATGCAAAGATAACTATTAATATTTCGTATTTCTAAAAAGTAATTTCTTTGGTTAGATTTAGATTTTCAGAAGTTAAATAAATAGTTCATGGAAACAGAGAATACTTTTTAGAGTGACTACACACTTGTATCTTATACTTCTAAACCGTAATAAAGAAAACCCATCATCTTATTTAGGTCTCTCTAGCTACCATACTACTAACACACAAGTTTACTATATTTATACGAAATTTACAACCTCTTTGGGCGTTCCCAGAAGTGATAAAACTGTAGCACAAATATGTCTTGAAGAGAGACCTGCTTCTTCAATCTGATCTTGAGGTGCACCCTGATCAATGTATCTATCAGGAAGTACCATTGATCTCAACTGCACTTATTCACAAATAAACCATTACAACATTGTTGAAGATTATGTTTATATGAATAAGTGAAACTCGACTCCTCTCTAACAGTTTAAACTTTTAGATGAGACGATCTGGTGAAGGACCTCATCTACATGTGAAGGACATGTTAAAGACGGTGTTTAAATGAATATGTTAGAATCCTCCATATATAATAGCTTAAACTTTTAGATGAGAGCATGTTGAAGTTAATTAAATGAACATGTGAATCCTCTCCAGCAAATTATGGTTAACCCAAAAATAAATTGCACAAGCAGAAGAAATTTTATTTACCTTAAGGGGTCCATCCAAAATGCCATGTAGAGTTAGGAAATGTGAGATATGGGATCCAAAACCTCCAATTGAACCTTCTTCAACAGTGATTAAGATTTCGTGCTCTTTGGCTAGTCTTCTGATTAGATCAGCATCCAATGGTTTGCAGAATCTTGCATCGGCTATTGTTGGCAATATGTTATGGGATTTTAGCATTTCCGCGGCTCCTAGACATTGCTGGACTACAGAACCAAATCCAAGAATTGCAACTCTATTGCCTTCTCTTAGTATCCTTCCCTTCCCAATCTGTTGAATGCTCGATTTTAAGATATGGAAATATTTACACATTCTCAATGAGATTGTGATATCTTCTTGATTGCCTAATATTATTTCCATGGTAGGAAATCCTAGTGCTCACCTCAAGTGGAGTTCCTTTGTAATCAGGAGGAAGCACTGCTCCTACGCCATTACCACGTGGAAATCTGAAGCAGCTTGGCCTGTCGTCTATGGCTGCTGCTGTTGCAACCATGTGCATAAGTTCTGCTTCGTCCGATGGAGCCATGACTATCATGTTGGGCAAACAAGCCATGTATGCCACGTCAAATGCCCCACAATGGGTAGGTCCATCTGCACCGACTAAACCAGCTCGATCCATTGCAAACCGGACAGGTAACTTTTGAAGATCGACATCATGCACCACCTACATGCACATCGTAATTTTTTAAATTTTCATTGTGAAAATCAACAACTTATGAAAATTGTGGAGGTGTCAGGCCTAATGAATCTGCCCTCCATATGAGGGGGACTGACAATCAAAGCCTTTAGATGAGGTGGTTCAACAGCTATTTCTCACCTGGTCATAACCTCGTTGTAGAAAGGACGAATAAATGGCACAGAATGGCTTAAGACCCTCGGTGGCTAAACCGGCTGCAAACGTAACAGCATGCTGTTCAGCAATACCTACATCAAAACAGCGTTCGGGGAACCTCTTCTGGAAATAATTTAGACCAGTTCCACCACCCATTGCTGCATGAATGGCCACAATCCTATTATCTGCTTCAGCTTCTTTTATCAATGACTCAGCGAAGTATTGAGTATACATAAGTGTAGGGGTTTTCGCCTTCATCTGCTTTCCTGTCTTAGGATCAAACTTAACGACTCCTGGAAAAACGTGGACACAAGAATGCATTTAGTATTCTTCAAAACCAAACCTAGTAGTATTATTTGTTTCACGATTCATTATAATCTCACCGTGCATTCTATCAGCTGCTGCCTCGGCCGGGGGATAGCCTTTTCCTTTCTCGGTTATAATATGAATTAGAACTGGCCCTGGTGCTGGCATTGTCTTTACTTTTTGGAATATGGTAACAAGATCATCGATGTTATGCCCATCCACTGGACCGATGTAATATAATCCGAGCTCCTCAAAGAAAGTAGAACCAGAAGAGCTTATCATCCCCCTTGCATACTCATCGAATTTTGCTGCAACTTCATGTGCCTGTGGTCCGATTTGCTTTGTAATGCCCTGCTAAGACATGAAATTTCCGTTATATCTCTCAAATTCAACAGTTTTGATAGAGTAACTATTAATGAAGATTGATTTACTTTTGCAGCTTCTCGAAGTTGTCTAAACTTAGGACTCGCTTGGAGCTTGCTTAAAGCTCGACTGAGGGCGCCAACAGGTGTGGCCGGGCCATCAAGTGTAGCTGTGGGCAACGAAACTTGCCTGTTGTCATTCAGTACAACAATAAGGTTAGTGTCAAGAAATCCTGCGTTGTTCAACGCCTCGTATGCTTGTCCTGCAGTCATCGCTCCGTCTCCAATAACAGAAACGACACTGTTGTCCTTCCCCAACAAATCTCTCGCCACGGCCATGCCTACCAATGTAAAATTTAAATAATTAATTCTCTCCACAATTCACCTTATTTGAGCCATGGAATTTACATTTAACGCACATTTGATATAGTACTGGACAGTACAATGGAAATACTTTTAACTTCTTTTTTTCTTTAATACTGTCGAGTTCTACCAGACATGCCAGTAACAAAAGTAGCAGAATTTCGAATTGTGAAGTATCAATGAAAATTCACCGAGTCCAGCAGAGATGCTTGTTGAACTATGGCCTGCACCAAAAGCATCATAGACACTCTCCTCTCTTTTGGGGAAGCCTGCAAGCCCAGAAGTCTTCCTAATTGTGTGCATTTTAGACCTCCTTCCAGTGAGAATTTTATGCCCATAAGCCTGCAATTTTGTTGTATATCAGTCACTTTTTTTGAGTTACCCCAGAAATTGACATCTTGGTAAAAAAAAAAAAAATGAAAAAAAAAATAAAAAATTAAACATATAGCAAAACCGAATGTTGTCACACTGATTCTACTTTTTGAAGACATAATTAATAATAATAATAATAATAAATAAATAATAATAATAATAATTTCTCTTCTCAATAACAAACTTTTAGATTGGATTGCACAACATAGTATTAGAGCAGGGAGAGGTTGAGAATTCAGATCTTGCTGTCACTCATTTATGAAAATTGTGTACTATCAAGCCTAAATTTATGAAATACATGTGAGAGACGCATTGAAGACATAATTTAAATAAGTTTGTCCGTTTCTTACAACTCAAGCTTATAGAAAAGATGATTGAAAGCTATCATATTAGTCGTGTTTAGCAGTAAAAATGAAATATATTTACCTGATGGCCAACATCCCAGATAATTTTGTCTTCAGGAGCACTGAAAACTTGGTGCAGAGCCACAGTCAATTCCACAACTCCTAAGCTTGAACTTAGATGTCCTCCTGTTTTCGATACAGTATGTACAATCTCTGCTCTAAGTTCAGCAGCTAATTTTTCGAGTTCCTGGCAGCGAAAGGAACCAAAAAACTTTTAGTCCAAAGGCAAATCTTGAGGTCCGAAGTTACCAAGGTCAAATAAAGTGAAGAGAAAGACTCTTTCTTCAGACGAGATAAAAGTGTCACAAATGAAAATCTCTAATAATGCATTAGATAATACCTTTACAGAAAGATTCTTCATATGAACTGGATAGTTAATTGTATCAAGTATTGGTGTCGGCCGCATTCCGCCTGAGAAATCTGGCTGCCAACCATATTTTTCTTTCCTTACTATGATATTTGCTTCCTCAGCTTCTGTACTACCAGCAGATGCTTTCACAAAGAACTGGAACAATATCCACGGTGTTAAAGGATAATTCACATCGAATAATGATGAAATAAATATACAACATATAAAAGCTTCAAATCTTAGTACTCAGAACCATCATAAAGCATATATACGGAACACTCTACAATAAATTTATGGTCGACTTCATGCCATAAAATTCGACAAAAGTTTATTCTATGCGCCACCCTCGTCCTTTACTCGGGTTTGAGACCAGCTATGAACTAAACTAAACAATCAAACACAAGAATATTAAGAAAAGCAATTACCAGTTTTCTTCCACCATAGTTGAACTTTTGGGCTGTCAAATATTGAAGTGTGGGATAATTCACTCTAATGGCAAGCCCTGGAGCAGCCATTTTTTATCAGATGAATTAACTGAGTGCAGAGAGAATGGCTCTCGTAGAAAGTGGTTGGCAATATGAAGAAAAATTATAATTTGAGCAATGGAGAAGCAGTTCTTATGATTTATAACAAAAAAAATAATACACATTTCCCACGAGATTGTCGGTATTCTGTAGCCGACAAAATCGGGTTGCTGCTCCATTTTGCTCTATTATACCGTGTCAACTATCGTCAGCTCGAGTTTAACTGAGCGGATAATTGATTTCAACACGTCTTATCACGTGCAAGTAATTTTTTCTTCCTTTATAACTCGGAGACAATTTTGATTGAATATCTCAATGTTACGGAGTAGGAAAATATATTTATTTAAATTGTTTTATATTTATATTCAGTAATTTTCCGAAGTAGAATAAATTTATGTTGTGTGGATGACAGGGTCTCCGAGATACACGAACAAGGACACGACAATGCATGTTTTGTTTCTAAAGAATAAGACACCAAGATGTGTATTTAAAAATAACCATCTTGAAAGATCACTCTTGTTAAAAGGAATAAGTTAAACTCTTATATGTTAGTTAATATTTTCATTCTTATTTGATATGACATTCCAACATTAGTATGCACTGGCAAGATGGTAGCTCGTTTAAATATATTTTAGAATACAAATGCTTGTTTTACTGAACTTCGAATTCTACCATTAAAATGTAAACACGTCATTTTGTACAATTGCTCGAATATCTCTAAGATCTCCATGAAGGTAAAAATTTTAAAACCGTATAAAAAATAGAACACGACATGTGACGTGTTGGAGTGTTCGACAAGGTATGATATGCGTCGACTCAAACACGGACATAATTCCTTAATAGAAATGTCCATGCACTATAGATGTCCATGTGCTTGTGATACTAATAACTGGATGAGGGACAACCATGTATTTTTGGCTGCACGTCAACTATTGCAATTCGCCAAGTAGAGTACGAAGTTGCTTAATGAAATTAAGTAAGATGTACCCATTTAATGTATTAATTAATAATGATATTTTAGTTAAGATTGAGTAAACCATGCTCTAGATTCACCATTATAGAGGAATTCTCGTAGTTTTTAATTTCTAATCTTAGTATAATGTTATCTGTTAGTTCCATAATCTGATTTTAGTTGTATTCTTTGAAGTCAATAAGGTAATAAAAAATGATGTTTTTAAGAGGTTATTCGAATACTTGTTGATATAATTGTTGAGTTTTAAAATTGTGTGTTAACTTCTAAGCCAACTCCACGTGATTTACAACTGGAAATCCACAAAAATTTAAGGTTGGTTTGCCTAGTTACCGTCCAACAATGGAGGGTGCGACGCCCCTCGGGGTATAGCCCAGTGGTGCAAAAGACATGAGTGAGGTAATCTCAGTCTTACTGGTTGCTGCAGTGTAAGGGTTCGATTCCTAAGATATGAAATTGGACTATTTGTGGGTATCAGTGTACGGACAAGCTCTTGTTTCTTGGCCTGCTGGAACACATCTCGCGATTTACCTCCCTCATGATGATCCAGAGACGGTAGAGACCTTCAAGGTGGGGGTTCAACCTTTAACAATGGAGGGTGCGACAATCGAAAAAACTCTGATACGAAGATAAATAGTATTCGAAGAGAATTCAACCAAGTTTAAACTTGTATGTAATCATATTTGCTTATCCAAGATTCCTAGTTGCCTTATATTTACCAAGAATGTTTAGAACTATCAACGATTTAATTGACAATAACTGATATTAACATGTCTTAAAATCACAAGTCTCTAGGTCGACATTCTATTTCTTCGGCTAAATTGAGTGGTTTAGAGTTCCTTGCCATTCGACGGAATGAGCTTGACCATCATCGTAGCATGAGTAGGGGCGGAACCACGGAGAACAAAAAAAATATATATTTTATGCTGGATTGAAGTCATTAGACTGATACATAGAAAAGAAATTTCATAAATTTTTACAGAGGGTATGGACTTTATCCCTCCGCTTCCGGGCAAGAATTTGATCGCTTGAGGTTAGCAATCTTTTGTGAGGATGAGGCACAACTGCACAAGCTAAGGCTTTTTTTAGCTAGGTTGTTTCTCGAATTGGTTCACATGCAGAATTTAGCATTTGTTGTCAAAGTAGCTCAATTGATCTTAAAATGTTACTTCATTTTTTCAAACAATGGTAATACAAACTAAAAGAATTTAAAAGACGTGAAGTTAATAATATCATGATAAACGTAAAGAATTCAAGAGATTTAGAGTTGAGTTTATAGTATTACACCTCGAATATAGAGCGCTTTCTACTACTTATACAAGATCAAACTCGATTGAAGTAGTAGTCTTTACAACATTTAAGAAGTTCGGTATACCATTTGTAAAAATAATAAAAATAATAAAAATAAATGAATGAATGAATGGACACATATTCTTAGATTGATGAATTTAAATTGAATTTTTCTGGATAATTGTTCACGAAAATAATATTTTGATTTAAATCATCGCAAGTGTATGGCTCGTAACAAGTAATAAAATAGAATTTAGAGTTTTGAATATCGTCCCCCAGAAATTAAGTAGCCTAATTTTATTTATCTTGGCCTTAACCGAAACAAGATTGTCAAAAGTGATTTTTTAACTTAACTAAACCCTAACCTATACTAGGTATACAAATGTGTACGACTTGAATGAATTAAAATGCAATCTGACGCTTTAGATGAACTAAAAATGCAAATTGAATGTTTGGAATGCAAATTGATGAATTCAATGAATGTATAACGCATTAGGATCACGAATCCCTCGGCAATGCTCAATTCAACCATAGTTCTATAATTTGACAACACGTTGAAATTATGAAGAATCAATGTTCCTAAATCTATTCAACAGTCTCTCTCGAGCAAAGTTGAACCTACTCTCATATACCATCAGCTAGGGATGTCAATTGGGCCGAGTCGGCTCGGCTCGTGGGCGGCTCGGGCTCGTGAAATCACGAGCCCGAGCACGAGCCGAGAGGGCCTCGTCGGGGCTCGGCTCGCCATTTAGACAAGCCACGAACCAAAAGTGAGCATTTTGGTCACTGAATAAAAGTTCAGTGACCGTTTTGGTAACCGAATTCAGTGACCAAATGGTCACTGAATTTTAATTAATTTATTTTTATTCCCCCCTTTTTTTACTATAAATACCTCATTCCTCCAAAGATTTTTTTCATATCAATTGTTCTTTCAAGATTACAACCCTCTCAACTCTCTTTTATTATATCAATTATCGAGTTTTTACTCTCTTGTGCTGCAAAATATACAATATCAATTCAATTTTTACAGTTTATTAGTTACAATTTCAATTCATCAAATTCTCAATTCTCACAATCTCACTACATTTATATTCATCTAGTCAAGATTTCATCATAAATAATCACAGAAATGGATCAACGTTCATTTGTTGAGAGCTTATTCGATATAGGATGTGAGCCATTGCTACATTATGGAGAATCGCCTAGGACGCCGCAAAACCAATTTCCAAATGAATTTGTCGATCTAAATGACATATCGATACCTGAAGATGTTCACATTCACGGTCAGGGAAGCCACACTCCAATTGATTTGGATGATATTAACATTCCCGAAACGGAACATGAAGATGAAGATCAGCAATTAAATATCCCAGATGCGAGGAGAAAGCGAAAGGTCAAAAAACAAGCAAAATGTTGGGATCACTTTAAGTTGATTTCAACAGGAAAAGTCGTTGATGGCCTTGCAGAATTTAAAACAGTATGTAAATATTGCCAACAAAGATTGGCATGGCAAAAAGGAATTGGTACCACTCATCTCAACTGCCACTACAAATCATGTGCAGCCAGAGATGGACTTCTTCCAGCTGGTCAAACACAATTACAATTTGGTAGTCCAAACGTCGGTTCTACAACTTCACCCCTATCCACGTGAGTACATTCGGAGGACGAGACTCGAACCGGAATGGTGAAATTTGTTGCCGCCACTGAGTTGCCTCTGGCTATTGCAGACAACCAATACTTCGACCCGTTCGTGAAAGAATATCTACAACCGAGGTACGATGGGGTAAGTCGAAACACTCTTCGTGCCGATACAATAAATTATTTCAATAATTAAAAACAACAATTAATTATGGATTTACAACAATATGGGGGTGTTATATCCTTAACTTCTGATATATGGAAAAGGGTTAATAAAAGAGTAAATATAGTTGCAACTGTACACTATATAGACCCACTTTGGTGCATGCATAAGAAAATTATTGCTTTTAAAATTATTAAATTTCCTCACAATGCTAATAATATATATAATGCTATTATCAGTATTGTTAGAGAATATCATTGTAAGAGTAAAATTCGATCTTTTACTTTTGATAATGCTAGTGTTAATAAGGTAGTCGTCGATAAATTGTGTAGGACACTTCAACCTGATTTTGGGGGGTATTTGTTTTATATTTGTTGTGTGTGTCATATATCTTGAATTTAATTTTGTAAGATGGTTTAAAACATATAAAGGATAAACTACAAAGGATTAGGAATGCATTAATATATATTATGATATCTCTTAGTAGAAAACAAGCATTTGAAGATTTTTGTGTTGAACTAGGGGTGATGGCTGCTAAAACATTTGTTAGCGACGTAGGTCATAGATGTAACTCTACATACTTGCTATTAAAATCATGTGAAGGTTTCGAAAATTTAATAACTGACTTTTGTAACAATAGACATGTTAGAAGTGATGACGATGGTATGTTAAATAAATTCGATTGGATTTTAGCTTTGAAAGTTAAACGATTTTTGACATTTTTTTATGAGACCACAAAAATTTTATTCGACGTTTATTATCCCACAAGCTATATGGTGTTTGAACGCCTTTATATAATTGCAAGAACATTCAATAAATATAAAATTGATCCTACTTTTAGTGAAATTTTAATTGCTATGGAATTAAAGTTTAAAAAATATTGGGAAGAACTGCCAATATTATTTCCTTTAACACGCGCAATGGACCCCGATATAATATTTCGAGAACTAAATACGTAATTGATCAAATCAATAAAGCTTTAATTCTTGATACACCTATCACCTATAAGAAT